TATGCCTGTACTGTCTGTCTGTCTGTGTTCGTCTGTTTCCACCTGTCCCCGCTGGTCGTACAACAGCTTCATCGGTCTTAAAGCGACATGACAACTCAACACAATTTTACTGGACCATTTATTTATGCTCACAACTGCCACGCGTTATAAGTCTTCCGATGAAAGATTTATTCCCAGGAGGTAAATACATTTGTAAAAATGTAATTCGTAAACAGGATTGTATTTAAGATTTATTTGGCGGGGAACAAACAAGGTTTATCTTGTTGCGAGTAAATAACTGAGCTTTCAAAATTATTTATATTATAATGCTGGTGTGTGTGTGTGTGTGTGTGTGTGTGTGTGTGTGTGCGCGGTTCTTTAACATATTAAGACATATAGTTTAACTCTTTCCGAACGATAACTTGACCCTTTGAGGAAAATAGTTTCAAATTTTAGAACATCACCACCACCACATCACCATCACCACCACCACACTACCATCGCCAGGTTAAGCTATCACCTCGGACGACGCTGCAGGGGGCGTGGAGGAGCACCGCTATTACTCGCCTCCTGCATTATCACCCTCAAGTGGAGGATTACTTCAGGCCCTTGACGAAAACATAATTAAAAGTGTAAAGGAATGTACCCTGTTGGCGTGATATGTTGAGGACCAAGTGTGTGTGTGTTGGTGACTTAGCAGGCCAGGACTTATCACCCCAACCAATGCCTCCTATCTGGTGTACTGTAATATACTCTGATCAGTGTGTTTGGTCTCCAGCTCCCACGACCAGCCACCTGCAGGTCGGTCTTTTAGGACATACTACATGTCAGACGCTCCCTCACGCACCACCAAACACCTCTGATCCATTATTAATACTTTACTCATACAAGTAAAAGGCTCAGCTGACTGGAAGACTTCATATATATCACCAGTACCGTAGTCAACGAGTCCACCACAACCTTTAACATCCTTAACCGTAACACAAACACGCGCTCTAAGGTGACGAGGCTATCAGGGTCAAGCTGCGTGGGTCCCTTCACATAGACCTCAGCAAACAAAATAAGAGTTGATGCCTTAAACTAAACTCTAAAGAAGACACTAATGAAAACAATCTGTCAACCTGAACCCTTAAAAGTGCAAACAAGCGAGTCACCATTGGTTTACCAGGATGATACGTATCAAGTAAAACATGTATATGGAACAAGTAACATAGATGTTGTAACCGCTGAACTAAAGTAAGGATATATATTTAAAACCAATTGGTGTCCCTTCTATAGTACCCAAATTCATATGGTATCAAAAATGTTTGCTACGTCCCAAAGTTAAGGAGATACTCCATAATTGCGAGAAAAGTTCTAATAGTATTCTAGGTCTGGGAGGGTATTTTTATAAGGGATAATGCAATACCACAAAAGTTTACAAAATACGTAGAAATAAAGTATAAACAAATCTCGTAATTTTCATAAAAAAATCGAATCGCGGTCGGAATAAATTATCGTTTAATTATCAAAACCAAAACTCTATTTCTCCCCCCCCAAATAAAACTCAAATAAATGTCCGCCCTCTGTCTTTACAAAAACAAAATCTGATGGTAACACGTCACAATACTTCAGTTTAGGTTTCATGACCTGTAGACACTTTACATTACTTGAAATAACAGAAGAACCAAACATGTCAAATGAAATCTCACTATTCTTAACACAAGTAAAACAGTCACTCTATAACCCAATAATATTTCAAGAGGTTTAAGCCTTTTAGTATACACAGGCTAATTTGAAATCAATGTCATTCAGTTGTAGTAACTCTATACCAACCATGAAATATCTACTTCAGGTTTCCCCAGGCTGCACTGTGGCATTTGAAGATTAGGCTAAGTTATGTTATTGATCCATGAATCAACATCAGATAATTTATACCTATAGTAAAGTAAAGGTAATTTATGAGACCACCACCACCAGAAGGAGTTGTTATCGTTTATTTTTTCCACAATGTTCTTATCATTATAGTAAGTATTTTAAGAGGCGAAGAATTTTAATTTTAATTTTAAATAATCTTTTTTAAATTACTTTTTCTTTAAGATCATAAATCACCTGTAGTGGGCAAGGCATGAAGTATGAGGGAAATTACTGGATAAAACACGGTGAAAAAGTGATTATATTACACTAAAGTGATATTTCTAAGTGCTCTGTGAGTGAAGAAATTAATTGTTACCGTAAATACTCCGACCTGCAGTCTCACATCCACAAAAATCGTAAATTACACCATGACGCTTAACAAAGTTGGTTTCATTGGTACCAGATATAATAAGTAATTTCTATTTAATGTTCCCCCCTCCCCCATGGGCAGGAAGTTAGTTAAGGTTAAGTAGGTTTATTTGTCTGGTTAGGTCAGGCTTTATTAGGATTTAGAAAATATCGCATCATTTAAAATACTTACTATAGTGATGAGAACATGTAGAAAAAATTAACAAAATTTAATAACTCCTTCTGGTAGTAGTGGTATTCTTATACATGACCAAATTAGATGTAATTAAAATACATACCTACCCCTCGTCTCCTCACATGTGTTCTTGGCGGTCCACTGTCAGCTGCATTGAAAACCTCCTCCACCTCTTGCCAAGCCATTTAGCTTCCTGTTCATTACTAAAATCATGACTTTTATCACGTGGGAGACCTTTTCTTTCCTCGATCACTGGTATTAAGAACGACCGCTCCTTCTCAGTGATATATTTTGTTCTCTATACACTCACATTACCAACCACTTTGCTCACTTGCCTCGGAATGTATAGTCGAGGGGCTACCAACCACTCCCCTTCCTCTAATGTGTTTTAAGCACCTGCTGCTCTCACTTCAATCATTATTTCTTTCATTTCTGCATCACTTTATACTCCTCAATTGTTTCTTTCACTTTTTATTCATTTTATACACTTTAAACGAAACTAAGACAAAAATGCATAGATTATAGTGAGGTCGAACTTTCATTGTTAATAAATATAACAAAATAAACGTCCTCACTACTCTTTCTCTCTCAACTTTCTCTTTCCCATCACTGCCTCTCCCTCCCTCTTCCTGTCCTTCACTCTCCCTCCCACCTCCCCTCTCCTATCTTGCTGCCCCTCCCTAGTCACTGCAAGGTCGTAAATGTCGAGACAACAGAATGGACTCGACACTCCTTGCCCTCCCCCCCCTGCCAACCCTTACCTCGCCTTAATAATAATAATAATAATAATAAACGGTTTATTAATAGAGTTGCAGCCGGTGGTTGAAAATATACAAACTTACATGTGATTTAGACATAATGATATGTATTGAATACATTTACAGGGCTGTACAGTACATAAATCAGTTGTTGTTTATTATTTTAACAATAGATGGGATGGTGCTGTTCTTATATCTATCAGGGACTTCGAGGATGCTGATTATGATGACTGTAATGATGAAACACATTGATGATGGTGATGATGTGACGATGATGATGGTGATAACTGTGATGATGATGATGGATAACCAAAACAAAGACAGACATCCATCCAGACATAACTTAAACCTTGAAGTAACTACAACAGATAATACAATTAAAATATTCACTATCTATCTACCTATATATTACTCGTCTATCTACCAATATACTGCATTATTAATCAGTGGTAACAACCCATTAAGGTAATTACTGCATTATTGAAATCCAGGAAGAAATTCGTCTATATTTTCCCATGTGAGGTTTTCTCAGGTAAATGTTTTATTGATTTCAAAGGTATTTTATTATTCTTAGATAGAAATAAATTTTACTAAAATCTAGGATTTTTTTTTTATATATAATTGAGTATAACAGAAATGTTGGGGAGTTGGCAACAGTGTTTTGATAAAGTTGTCTCCACAGCCAAAGATTTTGGAGTACAGTATTTGTGTTAATATTAATTTTTTATGCAAATTATTTATTTATTTATAATTTACTATTTTTATATCAATAGATAATTTAATTTACCCTAAATTTGTATTAAAATGTGTATGACCTGGGTGAGTTTTTTTATTATTTTTTTTTTTTTTTCTAGTTTTCCCAATTGTTGGCAGGTGGGCGGCTATATGTAGAAGGTGTTCTCGCCGGAGCTGCATACCCATTACACTACAACTCTTCAACAACCCATCCTGATACCAACACCTGTATCACAATACCAAGACCAGACTGGGACACATTAGCCAAACAACTCTACACACTCAGCCTTGAACACCAACCCACAGGGAAAATAGAGAAAACAATTTCACAACTCTTCAACACAATGACCAATGCAGCAGAGACACACTTATCAAAACGCTCTCTCAAGAAAATAGACTCCTTCAAGCCCTCCATCAGAACACAACGCCTGCTACACTGTTACAGACGATATTTCACATAAAACCAACACAACTTCGCACCAGTACAAAGACACATCACCACACTAAGAAAACACATCATTCTCAACCTCCGCCACGACCACAATGTGCTCTGGGCAGGTCTCGTAAAATCCGCACAAGACACATAACCCCCAAGAATTCTGGCCAGCTGGCAGGGGGATGGTTCATTCTCCATCTTGGTGGTGCTCAGCGGGAGATGTTCAGTACATGAAGGTGGACTTTTTAAAGTTTTAACTGCAGTAAGGGTGCTTGGCTGCGTGTGATTTTGAAAGTAGTACAGTACTTATTTTATTGTATTTTTTTTTTTATGTATACTGTATACTGGGAGAGGATGTAAAGGCTGCATCATCCACTCGCCTGCTGCTCATCTCTGGTCACTCTACACGGCTAAATACCTTTCACAGATCCTACCTACAAGGTACCTGACCAATTTTGTTAAAAAAATATTTAAAGTAATTTATTATGATTACAAGTTTAAGGAAAGAGAGAAAGACATAAAACACACCTGAAGGTTAACAGACCAATCTTGTTACGTTGTCTCAATGTTTTAAGATGAGGGAAACAGAGATAACACAAGTAATATCTCAGGTCTTAATAAATTAACCCGAAAAATAAAAATAAAAATACCAAAGGATTAAAATTTTTACTCTTAATAAACATACAAAATACATATTTATATTTACATATATTACAACAAATATATTAATGCTGCTATATATTAAACCATCTAAATCGTTAAAGGTACTGTCTTAAAAAAATTTATTTACTTATTATAAAACAGCATGAACACATCCAAGGCACAGTCACACATGACACACACAAGTCCTTCAACTGCCATACGCCAACTCGTGAAATACCAGCTATACAGTAGTACTTAAATGCACTGTGAATTCGTATTTTCCTGTAAGTTCAGTGGAATAAGTGACCATCATTAATGAAACAATAAAACAACACTTCCTTACACAAGTATATAAATCTTGCTCAAGGAGATGAAGGTAATAAGAGGTTTAGCATTATCTTGGACCATCTATGGTGAGCTTAACTCCTGAAGTCTGTCACCACGAAAGCTTCTTTTAGCTGTGATCATTTAATCCTTGAAGCTCTACTTGAAACCTGATTACTTTCCTGTTACAGATGCATAAAAGTTTACAAAACATAATCCAAGACCAGAATGTCTTGTAACTACAAAATGCACAAGTGGATACAGTACTGTACTCATTGTTATTAATGAACCTTAAAACTGTTGGTTGTCAAAAACCTTCAAATGAGAAAAGAAAATGAAATTACTAGATAGTGTAATGCTACTGTATTATCACTGATTAACTGATCTAAATAATGAACATTTCAGTTTAAAATAAGTAAGTTTTCCTTCACTAACTACCAGACACTTCACTTGTGTGGACCTGCAAACATAATCCACTAAACTTCAAACTTATTTTGGAGAGCAAATTCAACTCTCACAATGTTCAAAAATTGTTCTTTCCACCCATTTCCAGTTTGAGGGATGACTTGCACTATTGTCTGTGGTTGATAAAAATATATCATGTGAGATTTGACAGTTCTCTATCTTAGAAGAGAAATCATTCACAGATGCACACAATGCATCCATCTTAACCTGCATTCTACACAATTTGTCACAGATCACAGCATGAGTGGGTAACCCAAGTAGCAGTGGTGCATCAGGGAGGAGCCAGAGGGAGGTGATGATCGAGGTCTCCTCCATTACCATCATCCTGCTGCTGCTGTCGTTTCTGCTGCTGCTCTTGTCGAGTGCGAATCTGCTCCAACTGTTGTCTGAGTCTGCTATGAGTGTGACGCAGATTTTCCTGATGTAAACAGAAAAAAACATAAGTACTGTATGGAACTTAATCCAGAAATACTATTTTCTGGCTGAGCAAAGTACCGTATTTTACGGCTTATACAATGCATGGACATGTAAGATATCTTACCTCATTTCAGCAGGGAATATTTAGGATTTTTTTTTGTGTGTGTGTATGTAATTATTTAATGTTACCTGCTACTCATATGGAACAATAAACTGTACAGTAAGTCTGTGACCAAAATGTTCTTACAATGAGGGTAAAACACTTGTCAGCACCGTCCTTGATGTGTTTTTACCAAGTTGTTGTTGTTATGATCATTACTCGTTGTACTAAGCTGTTCATACTATGGTAAGCACTACTAAAACACGAAATGGCAACTGAATACTAGTCTTCGCTGCATACTGATAAATGGCATTACGTGCTCATGTGACTATGAACAAATGTTGATGGCAGTCGGCATTATTCACCGTTATCATCGTGATTTCAAGTTTCTTTCAAAAGCTAAAGGAAGTTTCCCAATCAAAATAATAAGATATATGTGGCAGGTATGACATTAATAGATAGTAATGTGTATCAGAGTTCAGTAATGGCTACCGATTAGCTCTGAAGAGTTGGGTGCTGTATGGATGATAACTGTCTCAGATTAACCAGCTTGAATATTTATTATAATTCCTTTTTTAATTAATCAAAGGTAATAATAATAATATGTTTAAGTAAATAATAACATTTTTATTTTTGAGTTGGGCCAGGTAAATTTAACCTACTGGAGACAGCATCTGGGGGGTTCATTAGCCTGCAGGAGACCCGCAGCTTAACATATTGGACGCAGAATAATTTTGGGGGACAAATGTACTGGTGGCTCTTATCACAATGAGGTGGTTAGTGTGTTACACCTTACCCTCCAAGGCAGCTGGTGAGTGACTCATCCCTCCCCACCTCTCCCATCAGCCTCAGGAGAGAGAGAGAGAGAGAGAGAGAGAGAATAGATGTACATACGTTATTACTCTCTACAGGCAGGAGGTGTAATAGAGACCTAGTCAGTACACACCTGTCACCAGCTTGTCAAAATCCAGGACCAATATGCCATATGCATTCACTTTCAAATATAAACCAAAGGAGGAGAGAGGGTACCTAAGTCACCTGACTACTAGCTCAACTAGAAAATAGGATTTCTGCACCAATCTCCCTTGCTAGCTAGAAGTCCTCTGCTAGGTGTTCTCATATGCAACCTTCAGAAAAGATATCCCAGCTGCACCAAAACACAATGAATCACAATTCTCCCAAACCATACAGTTCTGTAGTGTCACCCTGAAACCTAATAAAATAATTCCTTCACTGGAATATAAAAATTAATCCCCTCAGGTATTGGGCAGCAGATACACTTTCAGAGAATGACCTACTGAAGACCCCTAAACAGAAACCAGTATAGTAATGTTCATGTCACAGTCAAGAACCCACAACAGAGCACACTAACATGCACCAAAAAATGAATGAACAAGAACCTGGCAAGTGGATCACTATAAACATTACTCACTAATAAGAGTCAGAGAGCAACAGAATGTTCTATGCCATAAGTCAAGAGTGGATGAAAGACCAATACACTGAAACAAACACCTTGAACCACTAGCAAAACATCCCCTTTAGTGGAGGAAGCTCACAAACCTGTTCCCAAGAGTTCCAAACCTAAGTGCTATACACTCCTCCACCTTTCATGTGACTCAAGTGTGAAATAAGCGACACAACACCGAGAGTTGGTGACGACATATATCATCCCCGCCCCATGCCTGAACACTGGCTAACTCCCAAGGACTCCAAGAGAATACCTGTACTTCTGGGAACCATGAATACAGTTTTACTCATCTCACTCTCACAAGCCTACTGTCCTGCAAAAGTATTTCAATAAAATATGAGCATGTAAGCAACAGGAGGACCTCTATTCCATGGGTTTGACCACAATGGCAAACTTCTACACTCCATTGTGGATTCTCAACAGGTAGGAACAAACAGTACCCTTCAGCACAGGTTCAGAAGAAGTGAGGAACAAATTTCCACACAAACAGAACAGAGCCTCCTAAAAACAAAAGTCCTGCGACAAGCTGATAAAACATGTCCTACCAGCTTTGGGACTATGACAACCTAAAAAACTGACCAGCGTCCCAAAACTGCACTCCACAAAAAATAAAGGTTCAAAGACCACACAATAAGCTACTCCTTAGTCAAGTAAGTTACTGTACCTAAACTAACTTCCCACAACTCCTTTGTGTAGACTGGAAAATATTGTCTCTAGAATGAGAGAAATCTTCAGGGTAGGCACCAGCCACCGACTCCTTGGTGTCCATTATGTACCTATCCTGACACTAACATGAAGTCGTATAAGACCTAATACACTGTCCACTGCACAAGTGTAAATCCTTGTCAGTGGACAGTGTATCAAGGCATGTGCAGTAATAAGAGCCACCTGACAAAAGGTATCTAACTAGCAAAATATATATACAGGTGCTCCTCTACTTATGAACGTGTTATGTTCCTGAGGCTTGTGTGTTAATCCAACTTTACTCTTGTAGATACCAAACATATTGTAAAATATGAAAAGATTATGAATATTTAGTACAGCTATACCCTTTAATACAGCCTTAAAACCTGGTTCACTCTTCTCCTCTTAGGTAATGTTTGTTCTATCTCGAATTTTCTTCAAAATAATCCAGTCTCATCCACATTAAACACCTGTTCTGGCAGGTAACCCCCCTCAGTGATGATGTTTGTAAGTTGAACGTTCTTAAGTAGAGGAGCACCTGTAAATATTCTGTACTGTACATAAATAATAGTCACAGGTTAATCACCTTTATGGTTCACAAGGCTACATTCAATAATGTAAATGTTCATTGTTCTACAATCTAGGAAATAATTACACTATCAGAGCAACTCATTTTTGAGCCTTTGAGATTATTAAGTAATATAAAAATCTGTTTTAATTATGGCACCACAAGCATCATTATAAAGGACCCTCTTGAAGAAGCCTCAACTTGATGTCACAACTCTGACACAGTACAGTACTAAGTCTACACTGCACAGTAGTGTAAAAAGGTTTAACACTGTATAGTCCTGTAAATTGCTCAAAAAAATAAAGCTTACCCTTTTACTTTCCAGTTCTCTGATCTTATCTTGGTAACGCTGATTTCCTATCTGTTCCAGTTTTTCAGCTTGGGATAGTTTATTCTCGAGGACGCTCTTGCGCTTCCGGAGGTTGAAGATCTCTTGTTGTAGGACTAAGTATTTCCGTGCCATCTGTAAAAGCCGTCATTGTGTTAATACTTTTCCTAACACACCAAGTTTCATGATAAAGAATGTGAGATTTAAGGAGGAATGGATGGGGAGATGGAGACGAGGACGAAGAGAAAGATGAGGAGGGAATGAACAAACATGAAGAAACAAGACAAGGAATGGAGCTGCAAGGAGAAGAGAAACATAAAAAGGAAACAAAGGAAGAGAGATAATGGAGGGGAAACAAAAATATCGATACAAGAGGATAATTAAAGGGACAATATAGAACCTACATACAGGTATTTCAAAAACAGTCTTTTCATCCATCTAACCACTAAAGTGACACATGTTATGAGATCCACTTTGGACAACATAAGAACCCCTCCACTTCCAGACCTGGCTACCAACATCCCAAGCCCCCATTTCCAGACCTGGCTAATAACCCCCCCAAGCCCCCATTTCCAGACCTGGCTAATAACCCCCCCCCCAAGCCCCCACTTCCAGACCTGGCTACCAACCCCCTTAGTTCCATTTATACCACAAGAGATTCGCTCATACCCCAATTATATTTCAAAAGATTAGGTTATAATTATACCACAAAAAATTAGGTTATATCCCAATTATACCACAAAAGATTAGGTTTATTCTCCACTCACAGACCGAATTAGGATCAGCCAATACCTCAGGAGACCAGTCAATACCTCTTTGTGCTCGGAGAAGATCTTTTGTGACTCAGGGCAGGAAGGCAGCGGCTTGATAGGACGGATCTCGTTGTCTAGCAGGTCCCAGAAGGCTCCCAGCTCCTCCTCGTCTGTCCCGCCTCCGCCTCCCTCCGTGCCTCCACCGCCACCTTCACCATTGTGACTCCCACCACCTGCGGGAAAACAGGAAAATAATCCATCAGTCCACCTGACAATTCCGACGTCTGAGGGTTGGCGACCACGACCCACTACTCCAAACTTTTTATTTTATTCTTTTTAAGTTTCAATAAAATGAAGGAATTATTTTGAAACTATGAGAAGATAATTATGAGGCAGTTTTAATGTTATAGATTGTAATTAGTAAGACAGTTGTAGGATATTAATAAAAATTGGAGGTTCATTGTAAATATGACACTTAAACTAACCCATTAAGCATCCACCAGTTCTGTTAAAAAGGTAATAAATAAACAGACAAATTTCACCTTCCAAGCTCATAATAGTGCCTGATATAACACCCATGAGATTCCTTTATTGACGCATCAGCGGTACACTTGTCCTAATTATAATCCCTCAGGTTACTTAAGACATCTACCAGTCAGGTCAGAACGTGAGACAGGTCTCTCTCTCTCTCTCTCTCTCTCTCTCTCTCTCTCTCTCTCTCTCTCTCTCTCACTGACAGCCTGAGTGATGACGATAGCCTCTCCTGCCCTGTGGTGGTGTCGATGAAGTTAATGATGATGATGATGATGATGACAATGATAATAATGATAATAAAAAACATGAGGTTACTATCGATGAAGATGATGATAAACATAATGATGACTATGATGATGAGTTTAGGTGAGATTAATGATGTGGACAAAGATAATGACTATAATTATGATGGCAATAATGATAATGACAAAAAAGACAATAATAATGAAATATTATTAATAACAACAATATTAACGTGAGGAGAGAGTTGCATGTGACAGGGTGATGAGGGAGGAGGGAGGGGAGAAAGAAAGGAAAGAGGAGGAGGAAAGGAGGGAAGGAGAGAGCAACAGAAGGGGGGAAGGAGGAAAAGGAGGAAAGAAAGAAGGAGGGAGGAGGGAGAGAGAGGAAGGGAGGAGAGAAGGGAAGGAAGGAGGAGCAACACACAGGGGTAGAGAAATAAACAGACTCCACTAACAGTTCGGAGGTAAGGTGACCCAAAAATAGCGTGTGGGCAGCCTGTAGTGACTCACCCTGGCATACCCTGCCACCGAGACCAGCTCCCTCCTGCCCGCCCCCCCACCACCACCACCTCCTGTCACCACCACCACCACCACTACACCTCCTGTCCACCACCACCACTACACCTCCTGCCCACCACTAGTACCGACCCCCGGTACAGTTGAGGAGACGTGTCCCTCCACCTCTTGTGGTAACCAGTGTCTCCAAACAGCCAACCTGTATGACCTTTACCAAACCAATCAGGTCCTTCATTACACCACCAATAGCCTTTCATTCATAAATAGTGATACTACTACTGTGACAGTGCCGTTGGAGACACGGTTTACCACAGGGGTGTAGGACCCCCCACACACACACACACACACACGCCTCAGTATTAAGTGTAACCCGGGTCTAGTTTTCCTTAGAGTTATGAAGGTGTAGAGAGCTCGCTGTGTGTACGTGAAGGGCAGGTCAATAAGCTGTGACTACAGCCTGACCTGACCTGACCTGCCTAACCTAACCTAACTAACCTGACCTAACCTAACACAACACAACCTAACCTAACCTAACCCTAACCTAACCAACTAACTTAAATAACCTAACCAAGAGAAAGGGGATAGGGATATTATTAGACAGGAGAAAGGGTAGAGAAAGGAGAGAAAACAAGAAGAGAGTGAACAAGGAGATGTGTTGAGGGGAGGTGCGCCATCACTGTGTCCAGCCACACACCATGACGCAATGTTTACCGTGTATACTGAGACTCACATCTGCTACCTGCGTCACTTTAAGCAGGCGGCGCCCCCCAGGGTACTGCCTCAGCCACCCTCAGTAGAAATGAACCAGCAGGAGGAGAGGAAGAGGAGGAGAGGGAGGACGAGGAAGAGGAGGAAGGGAAGAAGGAGGAGAGGAAGGAGGAAGGAAGAGAGGAGGAAGGAAGAAGGAAGAAGGGAAGAAGAGGAGGAGAGGAAGGCTAGGAAGGACAGAAGAAGGTGTTATGGTAATAAGTCCGGCCAGAAACATCACCTATACAGGACGTGAGGAGAGGAGAGAGGTTAGGTTAGGTAGTGAGGAGGGAGAGAGGGAGGGAGAGGAGGAGGGGGTGAGGAGGAATGTAGTGAGGAGGGGGGAGTGAAGGAAGGAGTGAGGAGTAGTGAGGGATGGAGAGAGGGAGAGGGAGAGAGGAAGGTACCTCTTGCCACGGTAATTACCCTCTGTCAACAAACTCAGTGAGAGGATGATCACTTTGCCAGCGTCACCCACATGAGAGAGGGCATAAACAGGATCAAATAGCAACAGTAGTAACAGGCAGGAGTGACAAGCAACACCTATCCCCGTCTAATGAACAGACAGAGTGACAGGGACAGGAGGAGGAGGTTAGAGTCTGCTGTCTAAAAGAGTCAGTGAGCCAGTGGTGGTGGTGGAGGTATAAGGCTTTGAGGTTGCCGACATTACTGTTGTGTTCCCCACCACACACACACACACACACACACACACACACACACACACACACTGGCACCACCTGACCCGTGAAACTTTAACAAGGAAGTACCCCCCCCTCTCTCTCTCTCTCTCTCTCTCTCTCCAATAGCAGGTAAAATTCTCACTTAAACTAACCTAACCACCTACCAAACAGGAGGTACTACCGCCTAGCGGAAGCATAATGTGTTGTCTAATGGTAGACCCTGCTGCCATATGTAACCAAGTCCCAGGTTGATGATCTGACTTTCTGCCTCATTTACACACAATTGCAGGGTCTCAATTGTTTCTCTTACTTTGATAACACAACATACATATATTGTTTCTCACTATTGATCTTTCATTTTAATTCGTGTAAAAATTAACAGCTAGTTAAGAAAAAACAACAACATTATCTTAAGCAATTAGACAAACTAGGGAAAAGTTGTTACATTACAAACCTGTCATCATCACCTGTCATCATCACAATCACCTCATCATCATCACCTGTATCATCACCGTCACCTGATCATCATCACCTGTCATCATCACAATACACTGTCATCATCACCTGTCATCATCACAATGTCATCATCATCACCGTCATCATCACCGTCACCTGTCATCATCACCTGTCATCATCACCGTCCTGTCATCATCACCGTCACCTGTCATCATCACCTATCATCATCACCTGTCATAATCACCGTCACCTGTCATCATCACCGTCACTGTCATCATCACCGTCACCTGTCATCATCACCTGTCATCATCACCGTCACTGTCATCATCATAATCACCTGTCATCATCACTCATCATCATCACCTGTCATCATCACCAATCACCTGTCATCATCACCATCACCTGTCATCATCACCTGTCATCATCACCGTCACTGTCATCACATCACGCTCCCTCATCACCTGTCATCATACACCGTCACCTGTCATCATCACCGTCACCTGTCACTCTACTCAGGTGTGTCAGCCGTCGTCAACAAGAACCTCTGATCACCTGCTAAGCTATACGAAAAATTTAACCACTAAAAAATAAACAAATAAAGAAACAAAAGAAACAAATAGATAAATAATATTAACAGTGATTGCTTTTATGGAGGAGGGTGAAGGGAGGTGGGGTTGAAGGGGAGAGGGGGGGTGAAGGGGAGGAGGGTGAAGGAGAGGTGAGGGTGAAGGGAGGAGGTGAAAGGGTGGATTGAGAAGGGGAGGTGGGGAGTGAAGGGGAGGGTGGGGGTGAGGGAGGTGGGGGTGAAGGGGAGGTGGGGGTGAAGGAGGTGGGGGTGAAGGGGGGAGGTGGGGTGAAGGGGGGAGGTGGGGGTGAAGGTGGGGGTGGGGGAGGAATGGGAGTGAAGGGAGGGGTGGGGTGAGAGGAGGGGTGAGAGGGGGGTGGGGGAGTGAAGGGGAGGGTGGGGTGAAGGTGGGGTGAAGAGGGTGGGGTGGGGGGAGGGTGGGGGGTGGGGGGAGGGTGGGGGTGAAGGGGGGAGGGGGTGGGGGTGAAGGGGGGGGTGGGGGTGAAGGAGAGGTGGGGTGAAGGGGGGGAAGGTGGGGTTGAAGGGGGTGGGAGTGAAGGGAGGGTGGGGTGAGGGGAGGGTGGGAGTGAAGGAGGGGGTGGGGGTGTGAAGGGGAGGGTGGGGGTGAAGGGGAGGGTGGGGGTGAAGGAGGGTGGGGTGAAGGAGGGTGGGGAGAAGGGGGGTGGGGTGAAGGGGGAGGGGTGGAAGGGGGAGGGGGGGGTGAAGGGGGGGGTGGGGGTGAAGGGGGAGGGGTGGGGGTGAAGGGGAGGGGGGGGGGGTGAAGGGGGAGGGTGGGGTGAAGGGGGGGAGGGGTGGGGGTGAAGGGGAGGGGGGGGGTGAAGGGGGAGGGTGGGGTGAAGGGAGGGGGGTGAAGGGGAGGGGGTAGGGGTGAAGGGGGAGGGGTGAAGGGGGAGGGTGGGGGTGGAAGGGGAGGGTGGGGGGTGAAGGGGAGGGGTGAAGGGGAGGGGTGGGGTAGGGGAGGGGTGGAGGAGGGGAAGGAGGTGGGGGGTGGGGAGGGGTGGGGTGAAGGGGAGGGGGTGGGGTGAAGGGGGAGGGGTGGGGGGGTGAAGGGGAGGGTGGGGGAGGTGAAGGGGAGAGGTGGGGTGAAGGGGGAGGGTAAGAGGGGGTGAAGGGGGGGGTGGGGGTGAAGGGAGGGGGTGAAGGGGAGGGTGGGGGGTGAAGGGTGAGGTGAAGAGGGAAGTAAAGAGAAACAAATAATCAAACCTTTATGGAAGTAAGAGAGAGAGAGAGAGAGAGAGAGAGATGACGAGGTGAATAGTTCCTTCATGATGCTACTGCTGACCTATGAAAGACGACACGCCTCTCCCACGCCTCCTTCGTCTTCCCCACGCCTCCCCACATCTCCCCCGGCCTCCCGTCTCCCCCACGCCTTCGCCCCACGCTCTCTCCCCCCCCACGCCTCTTCTCTCCCCCACGTCCCACATCCCACGCCTCCCCTTGTTCCCCACGCCTCCCACATCTCCCACGCCTCC